ACGTAGGAACGTGATGACGCTCAGGGGGTTATATTATTATTATAATTATTATTATTATTCCCCCCACTGTAGGAGCCAATACACTTTTCAATATTTTTGAATTCTGAGCGTTTCCAATTGTATTTAAAAATGGGAAACCTAATTAAACAATCATGAATTGAGCTTTTCCGATCTTATTTTACACTGATTCCTTTGATCATTTTTTTCTTAAAGTTCAAGTTGTAAAAATGCTATGTTTGAATTGGTTATTTACATTTTAACTGTGAGTGACACGTAAGGCGGGACAACAATGCACAATGACGCACGCATTCTGAATAGAATAATATGTATTAATATCTCTAAAACTAAAAGAGCATATTCAAGTTTTACAACAAAAACGACGTCATATGCGTGTCCATTATGCGTAAAAGCACAGTGCCCTCAGCAAAACCACGTATTTGGAAAAACTATAGGCTAACAGATGTAGTAGCTCTAGTTTCAATCGCCCTCATTTTAATCAGTCAGACTTGTCAAATATAGATGCCCATGGGAGAGTGAGCAAGGGGAGATAACATGCCCATAACATGCCCAAAAATATCCTGCATAGACTCAAGCTGCGATCAGCTGAAATATGAGCACACAAAGAGCGAGAGGGAAGAAGAAAAGTAAATAGGCTTAGGCTAGTTAGTATTTTTCGTGGAGGAGGAAACATCAAACATCAAAGGGCGCACGCGGGGAACAGCGGCACTAGTCTCGTTGTTGAAGTCCCGATGTTCCCCCACTTCTGTTGGCGGGGGAACATCGGACCCGGGGAACATCGGACCCGGGGAACATCGGTACGCACCCCTCCCACCGGGGGGAGTGAGATTGCACCATGTGAGCGCACATACTCATGGACCGCTTGGAGCCGGGGACTCGCACCACTGATTGGGACACACGACACATTCGTGAACAAAATAATTAGGAATCCCAGCTTGAAGTTGTTTCAGATTTGAGATACCCACTGTTTGTCACAGATTAACACTACAGCAGATAATTACATAATACAGTATATCCGTCTTGTTTAAACAATTGTTCGGAGTGAATTCCGAGCCAACACGTGTTTGGGAAAGAGCACGTTCTCTCCCGACACTGAGCCGTGTGCACAGATCTGCGGAGACCAGGGATTTTCACTCTGGTTTGGACAGAACGGAGCAACAGCTGCGGCGAGCGACGAGTCCAAAGTCTTGATCCTTCAGAGCACAAGCGAGAGGCGTCTCCAACTGTTCTTCTGCTGGCTCCGGTTCAACTCCAGTCCACAGAAGGACAATATACCGACACACACACACACACACACACAGACAGACGTACGCACACAGAGACGTACACAATGAAACGAACACACACACACACAGAGACACACATACACACACAGAGAGAAGTACACATACAGAGATGAACGTACACCGACACACACATAGACAGTGATACAGACACACACACACACAGACAGCAATGTCGACCAATGAGAGTGAAGCAGGAAGAAAAACAGATCAAGAGAAGGGAAAGAAATGCATTTGTATGTACTGTATGTGTTTAATCTTGTTCTGTGGCCTTGAAAGGGATACCGCTAATGTGTGTTTCATGTATTTATTTATTATCTTTCCATGTTTTTGAACCGAGGTGAAACCTGTTTTCCCAGTATCCTCACAATCTGTTGTATAAGCTGCACTTGGCCTAAGAATGATCCTTGTCCTTTGTACCAAGCCCAAAGACCTTGGTTTAAAACAAGGGACTCCAGACGTATGAAGTCACTGTTGCTCATTTTGTAAGTCATTCTTTTCACCCGTTTCTTTGATTTTGCATCAAACAGGAGGTGGAGAGGAGGCAGAGGAGCTGAGGTCTGCAGACCCTGGGGACAAAGCACCGCAAAGTATTAGGCAACAACAATAAAGGCACAAGCGCCGGGAAAAGAGGCAAAAAACTGGATATGACAACAAACCACTGAAGGGGATTTGTTTGGTTAAAAATATTAGGCAAGAGCAGAGAAAGAATGGAAAACTGGAGAAGGACATGCTGGGGCCTTTCCCCTTAAAACACTTGGATGGGACCAGCCTGAAGGACCATGAAGGACCATGAAAATGTGTCAATCATTGAGATTCTAAGTGCAACAAACAGTCCTGTCCATTGTGTGTGTTCTCGATGAGATTCACCTGTGAGTGTTTAACCCAGTGGCTCCGCCCTCGGGGTTGGCCCACAATGCAACATGGCTGACTGAGACTCTTAGTAAGTAATCTTTATTTATATACCGCCTTTCACAGACCAGAGTCACAAAGCGGTTTACAATTGTTATTATTGGGCATTTGTACAGGAGGCACAGACCTATTGTACATGTTTTTAGTGGTAGGGGAAACCGGAGTACCCAGAGGAAACCTACACAGACACGGGGAGAACATGCAAACTCCACTCAGAAAGGCCCTGGTCTGACCGGGATTCGAACCCAGGACCTTCTTGCTCAGCCACCGTGCCGCCCTAAGTATTGGGGGCACCGTGCTGCTCTTCTACAGGTATAAAATCAAGCCCTGTGATCCAAGATGGCGTCCTGTTCATATCAGCGGCTTGTGCTCAGTCGTACATGGGACATACTCGGAGACCGGGAGATTAGCGGAACTTGTCTATATTTGGGCATCGTCTGGTCCTCCCGGTTCTGTGCAGTGGACGAGCTCCCAAATGAGCAGAGTTTGTTTAAATAAAGTGTAGATTAATTGAAAACTGAAGGATTTAACAAGAAAAAAAAAGTTCAGGATGAGAAGAGAAACTAAAATCCCCCAAAAAATCCTTCTTTATGAAAGCTGTGTGTTCTCTGTCAGGTTCTCTTTCAGTTTCTCTGTCAGATGAGGTCCAGCTGTTTGAGTTCTACGGGGAAATTTTTTTGAGCAACATGAATATAGTCTTCTTTAGTCTGCAGTACCACAGTGCCCCCTGTGTCCATTGGTGGAACAGCCATAAGCTAATAATACTCTATTCAGACATTATTATAGATCCATGGCACAGGGTACATATGCACAGAGAGACGAATCAGGGCGTGGCAGACTCTCCACACAGGGGAACGGGAAGTCAAACTGAGACATGAAGTTGAATTAAGATTGAAAATGGCACCAAATCCACACCATGACACAGGTTCCATGATACTTCTTGCACAAACATGTTCAGTAATCACCCCCCTTCTCTCCAAAGCTTCCCGTCTCAGACCTGCCATTACCAGGACTGAAGCAGCTTGAACCAGGACTAGGGCTAGGGCCAGGATTAAACTAGGGCTTAACCTGGACAGAACCAGGCCTGACAATTATTTTGAATTTAGACAAAAACAAAAATCCTTCTCATGGCAAGTCTTTTTTTATAAACCAGGACACAAACATGTAACTTTGCCCCTTCTGCCTGAAAGATCCCGTCTCTGTCCCGTGATAGTTTGTTGTGATTCTACCTCTATCTGCCTTTAAAACAAAAGTATTGACCATAATATCAGAATAAAGAAAATACAGACAGAACATTTATTTTTTACCCTTATCACCGTACATCTTCCACTTTAGTAATTACTTCACATTCTAAAACATGACAACACTTTTCATGTATTTTCCACTGTCCACAAACAACACAATATTTCTTCTGTGAAAGTACCGGCTCAAGAATCTCCCGATAATCAAATTGGCTTGGTTTACATATAGAGCATTTAAATCCGCTGATGTGGGAGCGGTGCGTGGCTTGCATCAGATAAACACCGTGTAAAACAAAAGCTGTAATCTGCCGGCTCCGGGTCCTTCTAATCCAGCAGAGAAAGGCGTTCTGTGGAGGGAGAAGCGGCTTTAGCCAAAACAATCCAACCCGCTGCAAATGGCATGAAGGAGATCAATGCGGGATTCATTACAGGACTTAGATGGATAACCTGCGTCTATGTGGGCGAGATGTGCTTTCAGTGGAAATGTCCCCAGAGACCCAGACCACACGGATCCCAAACAGGTCTGAGATGGAGACGGAGACCAGGGCTGCGGACCAGGGTAAAGACCAGGGTATAGACCAGGGAACAGACCAGGGGCACAGACCAGGGTACAGACCAGGGGTACAGACCAGGGCTGCGGACCAGGGTACAGACCAGGGACACAGACCAGGGTACAGACCAGGGATACAGACCAGGGACACAGACCAGGGACACAGACCAGGGGTACAGACCAGGGATACATGCATCTTGTTTATTGTCAGATGCATGAACAGACTCTTAAACCCGTCAGAATCATTAATTGGGTGTTAATTAATGAACTGCATTTGAACATGAATGTTAAGCTTTGACGATGCAGGATGTGTGCGGAGGGTTCTTTACTAGAATCTTTGAGCTCGCGACCCCCGGGTCCTGGACCCTGATGGTGAAGAAGCTGAGCTGAAGACTACTCTTTCAGTCTCCAGGTCTGAATTTACGCTTAAGCTTAAAAACAAGAAGAAAACGGCAAAACCAGAAGCAAATCAGGACTGGACCAGGACTAAACCAGGACTAAACCAGGACTAAACCAGGACTAAACCAGGATGAAAGAGAAAAAAAAAACAGCACTGGTCTAGGTCTTCAACAGAACTAACCAGGACTAAACCAGGACTAAACCAGGATTAAACCAGGGCTGTGAAAACAAGATTGACCAAATTTAAATATTTTACCATTTATCTTGATAAAATATAGTTTCCAGAGACCTCTACATGACCAATAACAGGAACATATGGCAGGAATTGACATCCCTCAGCTGGCCTGGGTCTGGCCTGGGTCTGTCCTGGGTCTGGCCTGAGGCTTCCTCCTGGTGGGACACACAAAGGACACTCTAAATCCAGAGCAAACGCTCGAAGCCACCTCAGCCTCTCGACTAAACCGACTTTTCTTTAGACCAAGGTCCAGAATGAAGAGGAAGAATACGTAGATATTAGTTGTTAAAATCCCATAAGAAAAAAAACAAATCAGTGAATAACGCCAACGAAAACAAGACTCTACAAAGATAAACAAGGTGTCATCTCTCTCGCCGCGGATCAAACCCGACTCTTCTGTAGGTCTCTCCCGTTTCATCCGCCCGGGCGCCCACACCCCCGACCCACTGCAGTGCAGGGGTCCAGGGTTGGGCCTTTGGGTGCCCTGAACATCAATCACATGTGTTCCAAGCCTGGTTTCTTCAAAGACCATCCTCCTCGGCGCTGGACCGGGCTCTGCTGAGACTCTGCTGCTCGAAGCTACACCACTTGGCAGCTCTTTTCTCTACATCTCCAGAAAACAGCCCGTGGAGTCCGCCGCTCTGACTGAGACGGACAGTGCGGGGAAGGAACCCAGAGAAAACCATATTTAAGTGGAAATATGTGTTTACGCGTTTGATGGTTCTTCAGGTTATTAGATTCAATAGCATGTTTGCATTGACGTCTAATGGTAGCGTAAAAGAACATGGGAAGGAACTAAATACAAGTGCTTTCTGTTTGACATACACTTTTTCTACATCTCCTGTGAATGAGTAATTGTAAATATGTTTTTGTGCATTGTATATTTAATGTAAATACACCGATTGTTAAAGGGAAGATTGTGAGAGCATGTTTAGAGGAAGCACCATACTTTATAAGTCACATGGTGCCACTGGGGCCACCATTTGCATCCTGAAGAAGGCCAAGCTGTAGGCCGAAACGCGTCTACAGTCTTTTTAACTCTCTACACTATTGACCATGGGTGCCACTTGTTGTGGAGTGTTGACTTTCTACGGTTAAAACAGAATTACATGTTTTGCTTTCTGACACCTTGGAGAAAACGGATATCCTTGCCGGTCACAATAATTCAAATTGGCTGGAATTCTGGCCCATTACTTTGGACAGAACTGGCGTAAAACTGGTTTGTCGGCCATCTTACTGTGCTCCGTGATGAGTGAGTTTGATATGAACTACAGACTGTATACAGATGGACCACACTTAACTCTGGCTCATGGAAGTCATTTTGTCCATTGACTTACAAATCAAAGTAAACGTTTGTTGTCTCCCCTTTTTTGGGCCTTAAAAATTCCATGCTTAGCACTATCTGAGATCCTAGTGTTTATAATGTGATATTTCCAGAGTTGACCAATCAGACGCTTTCATTTGCTCTACACATATGTCGACGTTACGGCAAAAAGTTAGTCTCAGCCCAAAGGGTCAATAATTAACTCACAGGGGTGCGCCGTATAACTTTTAGTCACTTTTACTTTGACAATACTCTTTCAAACAGGAATTATTTATGATCAAAAAGTTAGCTACCCAGCCTTTAAAATTCCAAATAGTGTTTCCAACTCGGTGGCTGAGTGGATAGCATTCTCGCTTCTCAGCAAGAAGGTCATGGGTTCAGAACACAGTCGGAGCAGGGCCTTTCTGAGTGTAGTTTGCATGTTCTCCCCGTGTCTGTGTAGGTTTCTTCCAGGTACTCCGGTTTACCCTACCACTAAAAACATGTACAATAGGTCAGTGCCTCCTGTACTGGCCCCGCTCCCATCTCTGTGTGGAAGTGACAGACTAATGCCCACAACTGTAAACCGCTTTGACTCTGGTCTGAGAAATGTGCTATATAAATAAACATTACTGACTTACTTTTGGTGTTCTGAACTTTTTCAAGCCGATCAGCTTTCATTATTGGTACTGAGGGTATTAGTTCATATTGTGCATAATGAAAGCCTTATAAAAAAAATCGCAACCGCTTCCCTCCCTCTTCACCAAACCAAACATCCAGCATTTTATTTTCTTTGTCCCAGCAGGGAGAGTGAAGCAAACGTGAAATTAGCATTTTCTGTTCAGTCATTTTAGGTTTTAGAAAATCCGATAACTCCGGTGCGAGAAACAGGAAGAGGGTGAAGGGGGTAAACACATCCCATTGGTTCTTTGGGGATGAACGAATCCCATTGGTTTATTTGTATTGGTCCGGTCCAAAATATTTTTCATATACTTTTTGAGATTATTGGCATCTGGTCAATTGCATTACTTTTTTTTTATAGTTATTTATAGTTTTAGGCACATAATAAACAATAGTGCAATGTAACCTATAAAGAACAATGCAATAAAAAAAATTAAAAAATTGTTACAATTAGAATGAATTCCAAAACTAAAAACAGGTGTTCAGAAATATCCACATTTAGAAAACCAGTGACAGCCAAAAGTATAAAAAGAAATGATAAATTAGTCTGGCACAAAAGTAAAATCTAGATCTTTCATCAAAGAAAACAGAGGGCTCCAAATCTCAGAAAATGTATCAATAGAATATCTTACAATGAAACGGATCTTTTCCAATTTGAGGAAATACAATACATCTCTCTTCCAGTGATTGTGAGACGGTGACGTTGGGCTTTTCCACGTGAGCAATATTAATCTACGAGCAAGAAGACTCATAAAAGCTGATGATTTTTGATTGGATGTCTAAGAGAGCCAAGATGGTGTAAATGGGTTTGGGTCAATCTTTTTACCCACTACCCCCGGCATTATCGTAAACACCTCAGTCCAGTAATTCAACGGCTGTGGTCAGAGCCAGAGGGCATGTATGAGATTAGATGATGGATGTTGGCATCGGTCACATGACGGTGAGATAAATTTTGGCTAGGCAAGATTTAGTCTAATAAATACAGTGCAAAAGTTGTCAATTCTATTACTATTTGAAAACACATGATAACTTGATACTTTTAGGGTTTAGGGACGTTTTCCCACAATATTTAAAGAAATGCGTCTGGAAAAAATCACTGACTGCATCTTTAAACTAAACAATGTACATGTTTAACCCTCCAAGGTCTAGGGTCATTTTGGGGAACCTTCCTCGCCTGGATTATTTGTGTAAAATTGCTCATAAAAGAGTCATTTTTTGATGCAGAGTCAAGCAGTATACTTTGTTTTTTTCAGTACAACCTGGGGTTTTAGAACATCTATATTTTAGAGCTGTCATATCATCCATCCATCCATCCATTTTCTTCCGCTTCATCCGTTGCCGGGTCGCGGGGGCAGCAGTCTAAGCAGAGACGCCCAGACTTCCCTATCCACACACACCTCCTCCAGCTCGTCCGGGGGGACTCCAAGGCGTTCCCAGGCCAGCTGAGAGACATAGTCCCTCCAGCGTGTCCTGGGTCTTCCCCGGGGCCTCCTCCCGGTGGGACATGCCCGGAACACCTCCCCAGGGAGGCGTCCAGGAGGCATCCGGAACAGATGCCCGAGCCACCTCAACTGGTTCCTCTCGACGTGGAGTAGCAGCGGTTCTACTCCGAGCTCCTCCCGTGTGACTGAGCTCCTCACCCTATCTCTAAGGGAGCGCCCAGCCACTCTGCGGAGGAAGCTCATTTCGACCGCTTGTATCCGCGATCTTGTTCTTTCGGTCATTACCCAAAGCTCATGACCATAGGTGAGGGAGGGGACGAAGATTGACCGGTAAATTGAGAGCTTTGCCTTTCGGCTCAGCTCCCTCTTTACCACAACGGTCCGATACAGCGACCGCATCACTGCGCACGCTGCACCGATCCGCCTGTCAATCTCACGCTCCATCCTTCCCTCACTCGTGAACAAGACCCCGAGATACTTGAACTCCTCCACTTGAGGAAGGGCCTCTCCTCCCACCCGGAGAGGGCAAGGCACCTTTTTCCGGTCGAGCACCATGGCCTCAGATTTGGAGGTGCTGATTCTCATCCCAGCCGCTTCACACTCGGCTGCAAACCGTCCCAGTGCATGTTGTAGGTCCTGGTTCGTTGGAGCCAACAGGACAACATCGTCTGCAAACAGCAGAGATGAAATCCTGTGGTCCCCGAACCGGACCCCCTCCGACCCTTGGCTGCGCCTACAAATTCTGTCCATGAATACAGTAAACAGAACCGGTGACAAAGGGCAGCCCTGGCGGAGGCCAACATGCACCGGGAACAGGTCTGACTTACTGCCGGCAATGCAAACACAACTCTGGCTCCGGTCATACAGGGACCGGACGGCCCTCAGCAGAGGACCCCGGACCCCGTACTCACGGAGGACCCCCCAAAGGACACCCCGGGGAACACGGTCGAACGCCTTCTCCAAATCCACAAAGCACATGTGGACAGGTTGGGCGAACTCCCATGAACCCTCGAGTATCCGATGGAGAGTGTAGAGCTGGTCCAGTGTTCCACGGCCGGGACGAAAACCACACTGCTCCTCCTGAATCCGAGATTCGACCATCGGCCGTAACCTCCTCTCCAGTACCTTGGAGTAAACCTTACCAGGGAGGCTGAGGAGTGTGATCCCACGATAATTGGAACACACCCTCCGGTCCCCCTTCTTGTAGAGAGGGACCACCACCCCGGTCTGCCACTCCATTGGCACCGCCCCCGATCGCCACGCGATGTTGCAGAGACGTGTCAGCCAAGACAGTCCTACAACATCCAGAGACTTTAGATAGTCAGGACGGATCTCATCCACTCCCGGCGCCTTGCCACCAAGGAGGCTGCCAACCACCTTGGTGACCTCTGCCAGGGTGACAGAAGTATCCGCCCCAACATCCTCAGCCTCTGCCTCCGGAGCGGAGGACGTGACGGGGGCATTGAGGAGAACCTCAAAGTATTCCTTCCACCGTCCGACAATATCCCCGGTCGAGGTCAGCAGCTCACCCCCCGCACCGTACACGGTGTTGGCAAAGAACTGCTTCCCCCTCCTGAGGCGCCGGACAGTTTGCCAGAATCTCTTCGAGGCCGACCGATAGTCATGCTCCATGGACTCTCCGAATTCCTCCCAGTCCCGGGTTTTTGCCTCTGCAACAGCCCGGGCCGCGGCACGCTTGGCCTGCCAGTACTGGACAGCTGCCTCAGGAGTCCCCCGAACCATCATGGCTCGATAGGACTCCTTCTTCAGCCTGACGGCATCCCTTACTGCCGGTGTCCACCACCGGGTTCGGGGGTTGCCGCCGGGGCCAGCACCAGAGACCTTGCGACCACAGCTACGAGCCGCCGCATCGGCGATAGAGGAAGAGAACATGGTCCACTCAGACTCAATATCCCCCTCCTCCGCCGGGACCTGGGAGAAGCTCTCCCGGAGGTGTGAGTTGAAAGTCCGTCTGACAGCGAGACGTTCCCAGCAGACCCTCACTACACGCTTGGGTCTGCCAGGTCTGACCGGCTTCTTCCCCTGCCAGCGGATCCAACTCACGACCAGGTGGTGATCGGTTGACAGCTCCGCCCCTCTCTTTACCCGAGTGTCCGAAACACGCGGCCGAAGGTCAGATGATACGACAACAAAGTCGATCATCGACCTTCGGCCTAGGGTGTCCTGGTGCCACGTGCACTGGTGGACACCCTTGTGCTCAAACATGGTGTTCGTGATGGACAAACCGTGACTAGCACAG